GAAGGGGAGCTGGGCAGCAACCATTCCAACATCTCTAAGATCAACTAGCCACACAGCTGTTTAAGCATCGCACCGTTTGATCATTGTCTTTTTGTATGTTAATTCTGTCTCTTCCAGACTGGAAGTTCCTGAGAGCCAAGCCCTATTTCCTATTGCTTCAGTGTCCTCCCTGGTGCTCAGTCCAAGGCAAAGGTTTAATACATAAACTGTACTGAATTCAAAAAGCAAAAGATGACAGCAGAAAATCACCTCCACAAAATAATGTCACTGTATCTTAATTGTGATGAAAATTTTAAAAACCATTATAATTAGCATTCCATGTTGCTAAGGTGAATGTTGAAATTCACTGCAGCTGTAGCCATGATTAATCATGTATTTTATCACTAATAAGTGATCATGTACAAGTTTAATCATGTATTTTATTTTAGGGTAAACTTACTTCCCTAACAGCTTTCTTTTAAATTACACGTAGTATGCTAAGGGCCAAAAAAACCTTCTTGGCTCATCAAAATCTTATCGGTCTCATGAAAAAAAGGAAATTAAGTTAAAAAAGTTAATTTTTGACACATTAACAAAAATGTAACATTATGAACTAGAATTAGAACACTCTTCAGGGATCAGTTAACATCCTCACACCCATTATACCAGAGTTTCTATAATTATGAAAGAAAATATCCCCAAATATTGTTTTATGAATTTCATGATGGAGACTACACCCAAGGAAAAAAATCTATCTCATTCACTGCTCATTTTAAGTTTAATTTTACTCTACTGTGATAACTAAAAAAGGAATTCCAGATATTTATTCCAAAAAGAAAGTTCTCTTCAAATATAAATTAATCAAGTGCAATGCCTGTAGTGCTTTTTCAATTTTTATCCCATAGATAATGCAGAAAGTCAATAAAAATGTAAATGAATATGGTATTTACCTCATAATTAAAATTCACAATATATGAAAAATGTCAGTGGTAGAGTGGTGCCCCCAAATGGCACATTGATAAATTGCACTGTGCTGATGGAAAAGTTAAAAACACTGTATATTCTGTCCCATTTTCTTTGATTAATCTAAAAGTGTATATTATATTTCACAGGGGCTCACAATAACTGTCCTGCAGACCATCTCGGACTCCTTGTCTCTCTTAGTTACTCTTTTAATAAGAAATACCAAGGGATAATCCGGTATGTAACAGTATCTCTTTCCTTATTATCTCAAAGGTTAGGGGTGTGTCTGCAAAACAATAAAGGGATGTCAGAGCTACTCTGATGTATTAAGGGAACAGTATTCAAAACATTATAGAAAATTTTTTTTAAGAATTAATTTTTTATCCATCTCTAACATTTACCCAATTTCCAGCATCTATGGCCTGGTGTGTAGAGAACTGAAAACCTTACCCAACCAAACTGCTTAGAGAAGGGTGGTGCTAATAATGTGCTTTGTGCACAAACTGAAGGTTCAACTGTCGATGCCCTGGGGAAAGACTCTATAAAAACTATGAGTTTGGTTTCCCTCTCTCCATACTTGTATTAAATATAACTGATGGGGGACTCAAATGTTGGAAAAATTTTAGTTTAAGTAATAGCTAACAAGCTTAGTAATCAATGCGTGTACAAAGCTGTTGTCCCAGGGACTGAAGGTCTGACCCACCCTGACTCCAGGAGACCATAAGCACTTCCACCTTGGTGCCCCAGGAGGACGAAGCAGCCTGAGCCTTTGTACTCCAGGCCCAGGACACAGATAAAGACTACCATCCAGGGCGAGAATGTTGCTTTTTTAAATCCAATGAACTTTTCCCTGAATTCCAGACCCCTTACTTACACTTTGTTCTCCTCATAAAAAGGACCATTTTAAAATAGAATTTAAGATGGTCTGTTAGGGTACAAATCCACCATCTTCTCAGATCACCGACCATCTGAATAAAGTGCTTGTAAAGATTCAACCCCAGTCTCTGCTTCTAGGGTCTGGTAGGTGACAGGCAGCACGAACACTGGCCTTTCCAGTTACATAACAATTACAGACGTGCTGCTATCTTACACAGCTAAAAGGTCAACATTCCGAGGGCCAATTTCTTTTGAACAGGTATAGAACTACAAAAAAATATGGAATGTTTACAAGCTCAAGAAAGTTCTTTAAAGAAGTTTTAAAAATGTTTGCCATATTTCTTTGATTTTTTTGTCTCTTAAAAGTGGAATGCAAAAGAAAACATTCCATTTAATAGAGAATTCCAATTATAGTCATTGGGTACTGATTAGATCAAGTTTCATTAGGCATCCTTTAATTATTTGTTAACTTGGATTGTTTAGAAGTAAAAGGAATCTAAACTGTTGAGTAATAATTATATGTAAGACAATATGATACCTGTATTTTATATTTTATACATATATTTACAAATAAATATAATATATCTGATATTTATTAATATTATAGCCTTTATTATACAATACTTATATTGATACTTTATACATACATAATATCTATCCAAACCTTATTACAATCCTTCTTATCTGTAAATTATGCCCACTTACGGATAAGAAAACTAAAGCTCAGACTAGGAACCTGCATAACCTTAAGCTTATAGTTAAGAACAGGGCTGGCTTTGCTTCTCGACCTGTTCACCTCGAGCCTGTCGACTTAACTGTGACACTGTGCTGCCTTCTTCCTAACAGGTTCGGATTTTGTGAGCAGCCATATTCATGATTCTTCATGATTTTAGCAGAGAGTTATAAAATTAAATGTCTACAAAGGTAGACAGGTGGTGGAAAGGTGTGCATAGGTACAGGAGACCAGGAGGAATGGCAGGAATGTGGCTAATTGGAGCACAGGGTCTGCCTTAAGAGGCCAGCTGCTACCCAGCTCCAGCCCATGCTGGCTACACAGACAGCAATGCTAGCAAATGTTACCAAATCTTTTGGTATTTTTCAAGAAAAAATATGAGTCAATTTTTATGAGTCTTTTTTGGGTCTCTCTTTTTTTTTAGAGCTGCTCACTTTTAAATGCTGCCAACTAATTTAGATTTCAAAAGAAGCACTATACAGGCCAAAAAACCATATCTGAAGGCTGAATGTGGCCAATATGTAACACATTGTAGGGATTCTGATGATGAATGGTTCCTTTTGCAGAGATTCTAGACTAGACCTTCTGACATCAGATGATTTGTCAAGCATCCTCAGTACTGGCTTCATCCTGCACGCCTAGGCCTGGTCTGTCATCTTCAGCTCAAGTTGCATGTTTTAAGACTAGTTCAGGCACAGGAGAGGTCACTAACAAACCACTTCCCACTCAACCAGCCCCTCTTCTCTCTCTCTCTCTCTCTCCTTCCTCCCCCCTCCCTTTCTCTTTATACACGCCCTGCCCCCCCCCGCCCCGCATCATTTCAAGTCTCTAGCTTTCAAGTTTGGTCTTCACACATTACTTTACATCCTTTTAATCAACTTTTTTTTAGCCCTCCTGTGAATTTTTAAAATTCTTCATATTCCTCCTTAGTTGAAGAAACCAAAATTGGATACAGAGTTTACAAGCGTAGTTTTACAAGTCCTGAGTCAGATTTAGGTCTTACTTTCAACGTTTCCATAAAGATTCTCTAGTAATTTTCAGAAATTTATCATCATATTTTAAACAGCTGGAAGAGTACCTCTAGGACTCAAAAGGGAAAAATTCTTTTCAGTAGGATTCTTAAGCATGTTTCTTCTTTTTAATTTGGGGTTTTTTTTTAGATTTTATTTATTTATTTTTACACAGAGGGAAGGGAGGGAGAAAGAGAGGGAGAGAAACATCAATGTGTGGTTGCTTCTCATGCGCCCCCCACCAGAGACCCGGCCCACAACCCAGGCATGCGCCCTGACTGAGAATCAAACCAACGACCCTTTGGTTCGCAGGCCTGTGCTCCATCTACTGACACACACAAGCCAGGGTTTAAAGCACGTTTTAAGAACACCAGAAGAGTACCAGCACTGTCACCATTCTTCAGGTAGGAGTTTATTGAAAACTATGAATTCAAGATAATTTTAAAAATTCTGGACATAGAGACCCCTTAAAAGGTTGACTTTTAAAATAAAGTAGTAGTATCAGTAACATTCACCTTTATAATTCCTACAAAATGTTAATAAGTAGAAAATTGTTTATCATGCTGATTTTAAACCCACAGTTAAAAATCCAATGGGATAAAGCTGAAAGAATTTAGAGTAGCCTCAAAATAGATTACGGGACAGGAACGTGTTCTTCAATTAATGGCTTATTTCTTAGATCATTCTTTCTTCCGCTTTCTCTTCCTCCTGTTATTTCTGACATGCAAGTTTCTTATCCTCACTTCAGTTCCAACTAACTTTTCACTGCAGCAAATTCAAACAATCTTAAGCTAAAAATGAAGATTCATCCTGCTCTGTAAGAGATGTACTACTCAACAGCATTCAGTGTTTTTCTCTGCTATGAAGTTTATAGGTCCAATCAAATCAAAGGAGAAGAAGTAATAAGTTCATCAACATAAGCTGATTTTAAATGGGAGCCCCTATTTGGTTTGCATATCTAATTTGAAAACTGTATAACTACAGACTTGGAAAAACTCTTCTGTAGAAAAAGGCAAAGAAAATTGACACCATAGTTCCTCTAGTACACCCTAGACACCTCAAATGTGAATTTCCACTTATTTGCATTTCATACCATTTCTAAAACTGCAGTCATTATAAACAATTCTTATCCTATCATTCAAGAAGGCCCAATCAAGTTGAAGTCATGTTGTGACTGAGATTCCAGTATGCATGAACATTTTATTTTCATGTAGTCTACCCCATTTCCCTTCCTAAGTCATTTGGGTACTTTACTCACCTGCTGAAATGCCTTCAAAAATCTTACCTGAAGACATCATTCAAGGAGTTTTTTTAATTTCTTACTACATTCTTTAATACAAAAGTCAAAGTGAAGGGTACTCCATGTTTTTAATCAGCTAAAAGTTGCACACATGGGCAGCCAAGTCAAGATTTGTAGAAAAAAAGGTGTTTTTACTTACAACTCTTCTCCTTGTTTGGCTTTCTTGTCTGAAACCAGATAGACAGTTCCAAAACTTCCACTGCCGAGTTTCTGTTGAAGCACATATCTTCTTGCGATTAAGGTCTTTGGATACCTGGAAATGGCTATTGACCCACTCACATATTTGGCAGCTTCTTGGAACTTCAGCATTGCTCCAAACATAAAATGACTGGTTTCTCAGTTTATGGAAACTCAACATTCAAGTCTCCTCGGAGATGGTCAGATTCATCCAAGTAGCATTGGTCAGTACCTTAAGGATAAAAAGTCCAGAGATTAGGTCTAAAAAATGTTGAACTATTCCCAGGAAAAAGTATAAGTTTTTGGCAGTGATACCTGCACCTTGATGAGTGGATTGAGTGACCCATGTTGGTTAACTTTAACAACTTGAAAGAATGATGTTACAAGGTGGAAATACTGAAGATGCCAACAGAAGGCAGTCTTCCACAGGGAGACAGCCCTCCCTCACACACTCACATTTGGCAAAACTGAGTCGCAGCCAAATTCCCCCCAAGTTATGAGAGGTATATATATTTCTCAATCAACAATCTGGTTAAGATATATGCTCCCCACCTACTTTTCAAAAATCATCCAAATATGAGAACATTATCATTTCCTTAAATCTATATATTTTCATCAGCCTTTTTGTTAGTCTTTCTTCCCACCATAGGTCTCTTTTTTATTAACAAATATTGAGTTCAGATTAAATGAGAAATGAGCATGATACTGGTTTCTTTAGACTTTTTATCTTTTACTTTTGTGGACTTTAAACCATGGTATTTGCATTTCTTTGAAATGATGTGAAAAGGGATAAGGATTCAGAACGAATTTTTTTCCCATTCTAAGCAAATTCTGATCCAGTTTCTAAAGTTTCAATTATACATACTATGTACAGAGCAGTCTCCCTGGATTGGAAACAAGAAATATCACAAAAGCAGTTCAAACTTAAAATTGTATTTTATTTTTATTTTTTTTAAAGATTATTTATTTATTTATTTTTAGAGAGGGGAGGGAGGGAGAGAGAGAGAGAAACATCAATGTGCGGTTGCTGGGGGTTATGGCCTGCAACCCAGGAATGTACCCTGGCTGGGAATCGAACCTGGGACACTTTGGTTCCCAGCCGGCGCTCAATCCACTGAGCTACGCCAGCCAGGGCTTAAAATTGTATTTTAATGTTAGCTGAATACAAATGTGTTATAGGTAAATCTGTAATTCCTCACAGAGCTGCAAATGCACAGCAGAATTATAAAAGTCAGGGCTGTTTCATATGTATGTGCAAAGTAAAATCACTTATTTCATTAAGATATAACATTTTTTATTGAAATCTATATAAAAACATGATTTTAAATTGAAGACTCTATGACTTGAAGTCAGGTTTGCTTACTCGACAATTCCAAAGCTATGAGACTAAACCTGTTGTATATAATGATAAGACAGGATGTTGCCTGTATAGTTGGGGCACATAGCCAACAGGCTTCAGAACAGAACATAAACAAGTAAATGTCCATTTACAGCAGCAATTTTCAACTCTTTCATCTCAGGGCACACACAAACTAATTACTAAAATTCTGCAGCACACTACAAAATATATTTTTTGCCAATCTGACAAGGAAAATAGGTATAATTTTGATGGAGTTACAAAAAATAATAATAATAGTAATTACCTACCCTTTTTGCTCCCAAGTGACCTTTAAAACATGAGGTGACTAGCCATGGCTGGTGTAGCTCAGTGGATGGAGCGCGGGCTGAGAACCAAAGGGTTGCCAGTTCGATTCCCAGTCAGGGCACATGCCTGAGTTGCAGACCGGAGGTCCCCAGTGGAGGCCATGTGAAAAGGCAACCACACATTGATGTTTCTTTCCCTCTCTTTCTTTCTCTCTCCCTTCCCCTCTCTCTAAAAGTAAATTAAAAAATGAGGTGACTATACTTATATCTAAGGATTTCTGGCACCAAACCGTAACCAATGAAATGCAACCTTATTATACAATGTGACCAATAAGGTGCCACTCTATCATATGACTTTATATTAACTTATGATTCAAAACAGGTCTTTCACACCTGACAGTTATTGTTGTATTGGCTGTTGTCCTTTTTTCTTTGACAATCTAAGGGGAAAAAGGTCAGTGCCCTAACTAAAATAGTCAGGTATTGCATGTTTTAAAAATGTTTGCAGCACACCAGTTGAAAATCACTGATTTACAGCATTTTTCTTCTTGAAATAATGTATTATTCAGGTAAGTTTCTCCTGATGCCATTGAGGAGCCTAGAATCAGCTAAGAAAGAAAGGAAGGAAGGAAGGGAAAGATGGAGGGAGGAAAAAAAAGAGGGAAAGAGGGAGGGAAGAAAGTAAAAAAGAGAAAGAAATCAAGTCACCTGAGTGGCTATGGGCTCATGATAATACTAAAACAACATTAGCATCGAACTGGAACTTCAGAGCTGTGGCCCATACCTCCAAATCCCTGAATAAATAAAAAATTATGTGGGATTATCAAGATCATAGAAAGTATTAGGAAAATCTGCTAGAAAAAAACAACTGGAGAGCAGGCATCCACGTGTATCTTTTGTTTGCTGCCTCTGCTAGAATAAAAGTGAGGCTTTCTGGACAACTTAAACTGTTAAAAAAGATACAAGTACGGACTTACAGCTTTTCAACTGAAAAGGACCCTTCATATCATTTGGGAATTCTCCTTACTTTGAAGACGTGATGAGGGTCTCTGTTTAGCGAAGGACAGAACAGATCTAAGAAACCCAGTGTCCCAGGGGCTCTCTTTTGTGAATGAGCGTTTAAACCCAGCAGTGTCTAGACAGCCTGGCTGTACCCACAGTGCACTTTGGAACTAGGTTCCCTGTGGCCCAAATTCACAGACTCAGCCCTGCAGCTCCCTTCCCAGGCCACCATTAGGCCATCATCATTCCATCAGTCTCCTCTGTGTTCACTTGTCAAGGTACCATTCTCCCCATCCACCTCAAAAGGTTTGGAATGAACTTGAGAGCCTGGAACACACCTTCTTTACCTTTGCATTCTCGGTGCCTGGCATATAGTAAGTGTTCAATAAACTTTGTTAGGGCGAATAAGCATCCAACAGAACAACAGCTAACGGAGGAAGGAAAAAAGTATGTGTGATGGGGGAGGGGAGAGAAAAGTTACAAAACTGGGTGGAACTGTGAGAAAGGTGAGTACCACTCTGTGCAAACGGGCCCTTGCATGTGAAGCAGACCTGGCCTGGGCCAAAAGACAAGGGAAGGGAGTGCTTATCACAGGTGGAAGCCAAGTAGTTCTCTTCCATGGCAATGACGAATGAGAAGAAGCAGATCTGACACCAGATTGTGCTAACTTGGGAATCCAACCTTAAAGGTACGCCTAAAATCAGGGTAAAACTAACGTAACTGCCTCAACTTTTCGAAAAGTGGCATCTTAGCAAAGCGGGTTAACATATATCGAGGGGGCACCGGCAACACTTATTCTGTGGACAGTGGAGCAGACCCCAGAGGTAAGGAGTCGAGGGAAGGGAGGAGGTCGAAGGCTTGGAGGTCCAGAGATGTGGACCGAGACCGTGGCAGCCGAAACCATCACCTTCCCCGGCGCCCGGGAGCCTGGCACGCCCGGCGGAGAGCTCTTCTCATACCTTTCCGAGTCGAGGGCGGTGGAGCCGCAGCGCCAGGGTATGCCCAGTGTCCCGCCCGCAAGTGGGACCTACTTTGGGCGGGCCCTCAGGACCCACCGAGCTCCGGGACCACCTCTGGCCAAGTTTGTTGGACACCGTTGCCAGGGAGACAACGCAGGGCATGCTGGGAGGTCGGGAGAGGCCGGCCGGAGTCAGTCAACGGGACGGAAGTGTGCTCTTATTCAAGTGGGCGGGGAAAAGAGCTCAGGCACCCTAATCTGACAGCAGCCACTCCGGAGGGTACTACCCAGCTTTCTCCACGGACCTCGCGCGGGACCGCCCGCTCCGCCCCTCCCCCCCGGCGCAGTCAGGCGCTACTGGCTCAGGAAACCGGGCTTCCCACTGACGTAGACCGGGAGACTTCCTGTTCCCGCGCTCCGGCGGGGGGCTTCCGCTTCCAGTTCTTGCTAGGCTTCCGAGGGCTTCGAAAGGACCGGCGGGTCCTAGGTGAGGACGGAGCAGGTGGGCTCTGCTGTTGGTCGGAGTGGCGGGGTTGTGAGGGCCCGGGTGACGCGGTTTACGAAGGCCCGTGTTTGTGGATATTGTGCACCTTTCTCCTATCCACGCATCTGTTCAACAACAGTCCAAGGTCCTGTAATCAGCTTAAGATGTGTTGACACTGTCTCTGCTGTCAGAAACTTTACGTACGAGAGGGGCTTCTAAAGAAATAAGTATTATATCTTTATGCTTATCAGAGATAGGGCCGAGACTAGGGTGAAAGTGAGTCAGACGCAAAATGCAAGATATGGTGAAAAACTCTGGAATCAAGATGAATTTTAATGCAATACCTTCAAAAATCAAAATTAATGCCAAAAAAAATCCACAGTTGACAAAATCTCACGATTTTGAAACAATACCTTGCTGAGCTATTTTGGATCCTAAGGCCAAAGGAAAAACTAGTAATTCTGATCCTGTGACTTAAGTTTGCCAGATTGTGAAGGATATTGATGGTAACTGGGCCAGATATGCAAAGACAAGAAGGTAAGAGCCTCTCATTGGAGTAAAACTGGACAGTTACTTCCTAGAAGCCTGAAAACTTTGCTTACTCAAAACTATGCCAGTTAAGATGGGCCCACAAACCAATGCCTGAAATAAGTTCCCAGACTCTGATTGTCAAAAAAACTGGATCCATATCACTGACCCTACACACTTTAATTAACTGAAGCCCAATGCTTTAGGACTTATTATGAGATTGAGGAGGATATAATTTTTATGTCTTAGCACTTTTTACTTTGATTCCACAAAATGAATATTCTGTTTTGTAAGACTATTGTCTATGTCAGTATCAAAGTCAACAGAAGTTCTCTGCTAGCATGTCAGTAATGGACTTAAATCAGTTTTCCTTTAGAATCATTAGCAACCTCAGTTGTATCCAAAGAACAAACTCCACGAACTACTGAACCTGTGCCTTGTAATACACAGGGGGAGCAAAAAAGAATGAAAAGGCACTCAGCTAGCTGGTCTTACCTGAGGATCTAGGTAAGAATTAAGATGTGGACACCTAATATGTTGTATTTAAAGAGTTCTTTATAACATTTGCTGTTGATTTGATGGTGGTGGAAACAGTGCCTTGGTCCCCTGTAACTAGCATCAACTGAAAGTGTATATTCTATTGTTTTAAACAGGCAATTCTTCAGACAGTCATCATGGGTATCCGAGGACTAATGAGTTTTGTGGAAGATCATTGTAATGAGTTCTTCACTGATTTGAAGTTGCGAGACACAAAAATTATTATTGATGGCTATGCTCTCTTCCACCGGCTTTGCTTCAACTCAAACTTGGAGCTCCGGTATGGAGGGGACTATGATTCTTTTGCAGATGTTGTACAAAATTTCTTTGAATCGTTGTTTTCTTGTAACATATGTCCATATGTTGTACTAGATGGAGGATGTGACATTTCAGATAAAAAGCTTACAACTTTGAAGGATCGAGCTAGAGAGAAGATCCAGATGGCCCATTCCCTTTCTGTTGGTGGGGGTGGGTTTGTATGTCCCTTGCTCATCCGGGAAGTGTTTATACAAGTTTTGATCAAGCTGCAGGTGTGTTTTGTCCAATGCTTTTCAGAAGCAGATCGGGACATTATGACACTGGCTAATCACTGGAATTGCCCTGTGTTATCGTCAGATAGTGACTTTTGCATTTTTGACCTGAAAGCTGGATTTTGCCCATTGAATAGCTTTCAGTGGAGAAATCTGAACACTATTAAGGGCACACAAGACTTCTATATCCCTGCCAAATGCTTTTCCCTCGATGCACTCTGCCATTACTTCAGCAATATGAATAAAGCGCTTCTACCTCTCTTTGCGGTGCTATGTGGAAATGACCATATTAATCTGCCCATCATGGAGACATTCTTAAATAAAGCACGACTTCCTCTTGGAGCTGCCAGTTCTAAGGGGAGGAGACACCAACGAGTTCTGGGACTTCTGAATTGGTTGTCTCATTTTGCTGAGCCTACTGAAGCACTAGATAATGTTCTGAAATATCTCCCAAAAAAGGATCGAGAAAATATTAAGGAACTTCTCTGCTGTTCCATGGAAGAATACCAGCAGTCCCCAGTGAAGCTACAGGACTTCTTCCAATGTGGTACTTATGCCTGTCCAGAGGCCTTGAATCTGGGTTTACCAGCATGGGTCCTAGAGGCTCTGGCCAAAGGTGAGCTCTCGCCTTTCATCAGCGATGCTTTGGTGCTAAGACGGACCATTCTTCACACACAGGTGGAAAACATGCAGCAACCAAATGCCCACAAAATATCTCTGCCCATCCGGCAAGTCATTTATGGGCTTCTTTTGAATGTTTCTCGGCATCTGGAAAATGTGGCCTTGAATGTATCACCTCCTCGGCCTGTAGCTTTCAGTGAAGTGGAAAGGATTAATAAAAATATCAAAACATCAGCTGTTGACGCAATAGAACTGCCCAAGGATGGTTCTGACTTAAGCAAATTGGCTGAGGTAAGTGTTTGTGATGCTAATGTGAATTTTGTAAAGCACTTCACAGGTTATAGAGTGCTTTCATGTATATTCTCTCTTAATTTAATAAACTGAGGCTGGTTGCCATACTGCCCCCATTTCGTAGCTGAGAAAACTAGGACCTCAAGTGGTAACTCTGTAACAACTCAGCCAGGGAGTATCACTGCCTGGACTCACGCTGAGATCTTTTAGCTCCAAATCTGCCATTTCACTGTGGCAGTAGTAGTCCATGTTATCTCTGTAATTATTACTACTATGTTGTTACTAGCTATCACAATGGAGTTATGTGGCTTTAAAAAAAAAAGGAGTGGGGAAAAATTATGAGCTACAAAGAAAAAAAGAAAAAGAGTGTGCCTAAAGGCATTGATCATAGGCACAACTAACATACCAGCCTGCAACAGCTTTCAGTTAATGAGATTGATACTGATGCTTGGGTCTGTTTTTCATCTTTGTTAACAAAGATCTTTTTTTAGGCTTTCTGTTATGGCATCATGATGGTTTGCTTGGTTTGATAATGAAAGAAAACAACTTGTAGCCTAAGTAGTGTTGCTTAAATCTGAGTAACACTAGATTAATCCCCTTTTCAAAGTAAAAAAAATGCTCACTGATTCCAGTGTTTGCTTAGTTTTCCTTATTACATAAATATATTAAAAATTACAAATAGATATGTTAAAAATTGCTTATACTAACACAATTACATGCAGATAAATTTACAATACCAATTTCAGTGCCCACTGGAGTTTTTCCTAGATCCAACCAAACATTCAGATTCATACCACCGTCATAGATCACTCTGGGGGCCAGTCTGCTCAGGGATGGAGGACAGGGAGCACAGCTTCCCAGTGGGTTTGAGTTAGGCTTTCCTCTTCTGTGAGAGACCTCGCAGCATTCCACACCATGGGTTCTCCACTGGGGATGATTTTGCGCCCCCCCCCCCCCGGGGGGACATTTGGCAATGTCTGGAGACATTTTTGATTGTCACTACCTCGGCGGATGGGGAGAGGGAGGGAGACGTTGCTACTGGCATCTAGTGGGCACAGGCCAAGGATGCTGCTAAACATTCGTGATGGTTGCACAGCTTATAAATATACAAAAACCACTTCAAAAAGGTGAATTTTAAGACATGATTTATCTCAGTTAAAGAAAGAAAATGTCTCACTGGCCTCTTTCCCCACAGGAGTCAACCTTGTAACAGTTCCATAGACATCACTTCCAGGGTCTCTGCAAAGGACATGCTTAATTACAAGTCGCTGTACTCACAGAAGCCCCATGATACGTGTCCCCATCTGGTGTTTACAGTTTGTTTATAGTTCAAGTCTGGATGTAGCTTTACAAGAGACATTTTTATCACACTAAGTAACACAGCTAATGTTATCACATCTCCAGGGTTACAGAACTAGAAAGTTGAGCATAGGTCAAATTCCAAAGAGAAGGGATTTCTTAAAACTTGACCCACACCAATAAAATTGAAATTAGCAGTGGCCTGACCCATGTGGCTCCATTGGGCATCATCCCACAAAGCAAAAGGTTGCTGCTAGTTCAAATCCCAGTCAGGGCCCATGCCTGGGTATCGGGTTCGGTCCCTAGTCAAAGCGTATGCAAGAGGCAACTGATGGATGTTTCTCTCCCTCTCTTTCCTCCTCCCTCCCCTCCTCTCTAAAAATAAATACATATTTTTTTAAAAAAAATTGAAGTTATTCATGGAAATCATCCACATAATAAAAATCAGATATATAGGCAGCCCCCCCAAAAAAAAAATTGAAATTGGCAACATTCTATAAGATGTTTTGCTAAAATTACATTTCTATCCATAACTTAAATGGTGCTGTATTGGAGGATTTTTTCAAAAACATTTTTATGAGATTATTGAGAAATCATTGATGTACACAGAATGCCCATATTTATTTTAAAGTGTGTACTGTTATGAGTTTTGATACTTACATCTGTGAATCCATGCTGCAATTAAAGTAATGAATGCATCCATCATCCCTACAAGTTTCCTCTTGCCTCTTTGCAGTCCATCCCTTCCTGACAGTGTACATACAGCAGAGTACACAGATAATGGTACAGCTTGATGAATTTTCACCAACTCGACACTTCCATGTAGAGAACACGCAGGTGAA